GGGGGGGAAGGGGGACTACTTTTTTGCCCTTATTTTCCACTTCCGAACAGTACACATTCTCCGCAGGATTAACAAATGCCGTAGATTGTTTACTCTTTGAGTCGATTATTGTCAGTAACACTTCAAATAATCAAGAAATTAAAGAATACGGAATGGAGTTCTCTAATTTATCCTACATGTATCGAAATGGAAGGGCCGTGAAAGCTGCTTTACTTCAGCTTTGTGAATCATGTTCTTCGTAAGCTGAAGAGAGGATGACAAACGTGGAAGTCATGAATTACTGCTCCTGCCTCTAGCTCTTTTTAGAACAACATTTAGTAAGGCTACTAACACTAGTAACATAGTTATTCATGAGTTCCATGTAGTAGGTTACGTTCATCATGGTTTTTAGTTTTCTAAACAACTGCGCAACATATTTTATAGTGACAGATCAAATCGAGGAAATAACGACGCTTGAGCCTAATCTTCATGCTGAGATTTTTTTCAATACTTCCTCAACCTTTAGTTACTAAAAAATGCTCAATGTTTTTATGGATTTACACTTTCACTCACAACTATGAAATAAGTAGTCTGCTGCAATGTATCCAGCAAGGATTTTCGTCCTTGATGCGGTCACCAGTAGCGCTTTTAATTTTTTTTCTTCCAGCAAACGCAGCATTTGATGCAAGAAGAGAAGGCCAATGTCACTTCTCATATTGTTCAGGGGAAGGAGCCAGAGGTACGATTTTAACTTCTTTTTGTCTGTCATTGAAGCTACTTTCAATTATTTAAGCTGTCATCGGGTGTTCCGGAGCCAGTTTCGGCATCCTCATCTGGAACAGCTCAAGTTCGTAAAACTTAGTGACTACATGAAATCATATCGGAATATTAAGTACTGACTAATTTTTGTTTAGGTTCCCAATTCTACCCCGACGGTGAAAGTTCCTGTAGCATCTCCACCAATGGAATGTGATAGTTCGGTTCCAAGCCCGCCAAAGACAACTGTAGCTGCTCCAGTTTCGTCAGTCGCACCTACTTCGCAAACAACGCGGTCAGCAGCTTCCCCATTGAGAAAGGAAGGTGAGTGCTCACGCTGTTTCTACTTTTCTTTGCCACTGAAGTTTCATAAGTGATCGTGAAATTGCAGAAGATGTACGCTCAGAGCGTAGCTTCGTGGAGTCTCCTCAACCTCCTCGCGCACCAGCTCCAGCACCGTGGGACAGTACGCCTTCACCTCGGCCACGTGACTATTCACCGGATCGCGAAAGTACTGCAACACGAGATACCGAGAAGGAGCGTGATTATGAAAAGGAAAAGGAGCAGCGAGAAGCTGAACGAGAAAAAGAGGAGACACGGGATCAGCAGAAGAAAAAAGCAACGAAGGAAGTCCGTGCTGCCGTTTCTACCCAGTCTCGCCCAAGAACAAAAACTAATGAGGTAGCTGCTTTTTTATGGTGTCTTAATCAGTGGCTTATCGTTTTTTATTCTTACCTCTTTTGATAGATCGCTCGGTTGCTTGAAGATCTATGCGAAGGCTCATGGGCTAATACTGTTCGGCGGGTGTCATCTAGCTCTCGCCGTCCTACGGAAGAGGCCATCATTGAGCGTAATAGTAGAAAAGAAAAGAAAAAGGTGATTTCTCAGTAATTTTCAGCTACTGAAAGCTGTAGTTAAAGGTTTGCTGCTCTGAAAATCATTCCAATTTCGGAATACAGTTCTCCATTGGTTTTTTGATTATTTACAGAGCGAACTACGATTTTGTATCATGTATGTAATTATAAGCATGTACTCGATGATCTTATATTTTGATAAAGATGGAGAAAAATCGCAAAAAGGAGCGCTCACGAGAACAACGGGCGTCTATTGCTTCCTCTTCTGTATCATCATTGACTACATCGGCTTCCTCGAAACCTGCAAGGCGAAAACTGAAGCAGCTTAGCGATGACTCCAGCTCGGGATCATCCAGTGATTCAGACGAGGTTGTGCAACCTGTCCGGAAAGCAGCTGCAGTGGAAAAGAAGAAAACGGAAGCGGTGAGCTTTGTTTGCGTTTTTAATGCCTCATATGTCTATGAACTATCAGTATTAAATGTCTAATCTCATTTAGTATTCTAGGTCCCTGATTTGCAGAAACGAAAGCGAATCTCACCGCCAACCTCAGACATGTCGTCAAACCGATCTAGTGATTCTGACTCTGACTCTGATGATCGCATACCATCGAGAAAAGGTGGCAAACGCCGTTTCTCACCCGGAGAGAAGAAAACGTCGGAGAAGAAAAAGTCGTACTCATCAAGTTCAATCTCTTCTGTTGCCAAAAAGAAGGCCAAGGTTAGGGCTTCTTTAGTGTCTTAGTCAAGAAAATTTATTTTATAGTGTCACCAGATCATTTCAATGGTTTCATCGTCTTTGTGAGAAAATGTGGGTCAGTCTTAAGTGGAGCGTTACTATTTTTCTTGCAGGGTGTGAATCGTAAGCGTCAAGATTCGAACACGGACGAGGAAGCGATCACGCAACACGATCCTAGTACAACATGTGCCCTGAATGCTGAGTGTACAAGGCC